GATAAAACCCTTTCTCCTATCATTTACATAGATATAACATAAGTGATAATGCTTTAAAAAAATGACTGAAAGTTACTTCTAGCGTGAAAGAGGAAAGTTAGTTCTCAAGGAAGAGTCAATTGAATATCTATATTTGGAGAAAATATTATATCTACATCCCTGGTTTTTAATTCTCTTGCTTTTTCTATATCTGCATTTATAACATTGATTTACATATAGAAGGAAATTTAGTTTTACTAAATACTTTTCCACTCAGTTTTTCTTTGTATTTGCACCACCCATCATAGAGATCAGATTCTTGTAGAGCTAGCATGTCTTCTTTGAGGAAACTACCGAGGGCATAAATATGGGAGTAGATTTGGAGTATTAAGGTAAAGAAAAAGAAAAGAATTTGCCTGTGATCCTACTTTCCATACATGTAACCCTCTTTGACCGTATGGTGTGTGGTTTTTAATATTTAATATATTGACAAACAAGGTTGTGCTTTTTGTGTGCATGGGTGTTTTTCTCACTTGTCATAAGTAAGACATTACCTGTTTTCTCATACCATTTCCTGTTTTCTACTCATTTCAGGTGTCTGTAACAAACACCCTGGCATGGATCATCCACAGTCTCTTTAACCAGTCTCCCATTGTTGAATATTTAAGTTGTTTATAATTTTTCTCTTTTTAAAAAATATTTATTTATTTGTTTGTTTGTTTGTTTATACAAGCACTGGGTACAGTCAGAAGCAAGGGAGGGTGAGAGAATTCACCAGAGCCAGAGCAGGGAACAGAACAGGCAGACTGATGAAATACACTGCTGAGGGGAGCAGCGGGCAAGACAGGAGAGGACTGCATGCCATGTGGGACCCTCGCCCAGTGGCCGGGGAATGAACCAGCGCTGCATAGGCTGCGGGCAGCTTCGCAACTCAGCACACAACCGCTGTGCCACCAGGGAGGCCCCTGTTTATAATGTTTCATATAGTAAAAATTTTCAAAGAACAGCTGAGCAATTCAGTTTTTACAAATATAATGCTATTTCCTTCAAATAGATTCCTAGATGTAGAATTGTTAGGTCACAAAGTGTTTATACCTGTCAGGCTTTTGCTCTGCTCTGCCATATCTCACTCTGGAAGGGTCAGGAGAGTGCCAGAGAGATGAAATGTCATTTCTCTGGGCTATTTATGAAACTGGATACTATCAACATTTTTGGAGTACTAAATTGAGAAGTGAAAATGACATCTAATTTTTTTTTGTTCATTTGACCTTTGTAATACAATTGAAGTCAAATTTTTACCCTACCTATTTGTTATCCATTTATATTTCTTCTTTTATAATTTGCTGGCTCATGTTCTTTGTTCATCTTTCTATTAGGTTAGTAATATGTGTTTCTTATTGACTTGTAAGGAGTCTTTCATAAACTAAATAGTAGATTTGTACAATTGGTGTAACATTTTGAGCAATTTAATTTTCACCTTTCATTTTCCTTAGTGGTGTTTTAGACACAAAGTCTTTTCCATTGATACCTTTATTTATCTATTTATGCTTTTAAATATCACAATTGGTAAGTTTGTAAATATAAATTAAGAGTTAGCCTTGGTAACTTGGGGTTCTAGACATTGTAGGATCCATATTTAAACTGAACTTGGAGAAAAATTCTAGTACAATTGAGCCAATAATTCTACATATTCTGTTAGGTGTAGTTCATAGGATGATTTAAGATTTGAAATATGGAGGTGTCACTATCAGTCATTCTGTAAATAGTGTATGCGTTGGCATTGAATTATTTAAGTCTTCAGCAAAGAAGTCAGGGACTCATTTGTTTTGTATTGATTTAGGCTTCTGGCTGCTGAGAACTATGCAATGGTCTCCAGTCTTCCTTTCTAGTCTTCAAATATATAAAATGAGAGAGAGCTTTTATTGGCTAACAGATAAGTTGAAACCCTTGCATAGTCCATTCATAAATAGCATCAAAAGCCCTTGGAAAATTTGCTGTCTGGTGGCATTTTTTAGAAACAGAGCTCCAATTTTTAGAGCCCATTCAGTCCCAGCATGAGGTAAGGCAGCTTCTTCACTTTTTCCAGGGCTTTTGTTCCTTTGCAGGTATGGGTAGTATTGTCAACTTCAGACTACCAGTTCCTTCAAATTGAGTGCTTTCTTAGAAAAATGCCTCCCTATAAGATCTGCAAGCAGTGTATCTTGTGAATATAGTATAGATGTTTTTCCTGAGTCGGCAGAAGTTTTTGACAAGAAATTGCCTAACCATTCCTTGCCTAAGGCTCACTTTTGTTTCTGCCCCTGTTTATTGTTATTCCCTGCTTGTTAGGCATTTTATACTATGTATCCTTTACAGATGACACTTTGACAGATCTGCCCTTTCTCTTTCCCTCCCAACCCCCTGCACTCCTCTCTCCCCTCCATGATCCAATAGAGTCAAGCCAACCATTCTCGTTATTGTTTGGCCATCCCTAGAAACCCTTATAGATACAAAATACGCATATTTGAGAAGATACCTACAGAGTTATCTTATAAGATGAATCCTTTTATAATATCTCTATTTAAAAAGTAAAAAAACACACACACACCTTATAGGTACGAGTATTGAGTAGTAAAGATAAATGAGATAAGATATATGAAATAAATGAAAACCTGCAGTATTCCCACTGCCTTCCTAACATCACTGGGGCAAAAGAAAAAAAAAGAGGGCTCAGGATAGAAATGGTGCCAGTGGTAATATTTTTATCAAGCATATAAGGATTTATTAGAAAAACATTTGCAAAATTATTATAGCATTTTATAGCATTCTTCTGAAGCCCATTTAGAACACAACTAAACACAAGAGGGTCTTCTATGAAGAAGATATGCAAAATGACAAGATAAATTGTGTGTCATTATTGAAGGACTAGTGAGAAGTAATATGAGTCACAGACCATCTAAAAACAATTTCCTTTGTTTGAAAATCCTGCATGTAGAAATTTTCTATGGTCCTTTAATAATTTTATTCTTAAAATGTGTTTTAAGTCAGTTGCTATTATAAAATCATGCCAATAAATTATTAGTAACAGCTATTGTGTAAGGGAATATGAGGAAGATATATATGTGTGTATACACACACACACACACACACACACACAGAGAGAGAGAGAGAGAGAAAGAGGGCCCTGTTAGAATGTTTGGATTATTTTAAATATCAGAAAAAAGAAAAGTATAGTTTTCAGTACAGAATGTGGGCCAGTTCATATCTTAAATATTTGATACATCTAGGGTTATTGGGCACACAGAATAAAAGCTTAGCCCTCTGTGGAAACAAACTAGATTAGGATGGGTAGAGATCTAAAAATGAGATATGCCAAGATAATCTAGGGAGCACACTGACAGGCGGCAGTTCAAGAGGTGGATTTACTCTTCACACTTCTCTTCCCCGACAGATTCTGGAGGCAATATAGACTAGTGGGCTGTTGTCGGCAGCTGGGATAGGAGTGCCATGGCAGCCATTAGTGATGAGTCCTAGTTCTGAACTGAGCTTCATGGCCAGGACACTATACCAGAAACCCAATCTGCAGATCAGGGCTTCTATGTAGGTCACCCAACAGAGAGCACAACTCAAGTAAAATCCAGGGCTACTTTATACAAAAGATATAGAGAGGAAAAGCTCCTGGATATTAGAACTGAACCACAAACAGGTCCTAGCAGCAAGGCTAACGTGATACCAATTCTTTTGGCCAAGGAGAATAGAACTCCTTTACATTCCCTAAAATCAGTTGTTCCAGCCCCTAGGATAGGCCATAGGAACTGCAGGCCAGCCAATGTTAGGGATATGCAGAGGGGAAGAGCTTTGCAGGGATGTCAAGGTAGATATCAGTAGCCTCAAAGGGTATTCAAAGCCAAATTCTTAGGGCTGCGTCTCCTGTGTTCTGCCTCAGTGATTCTTCCTGTCAGGGCGTCTTCACCTTTCATGTTAATCACAAGGAAAGATTACTATCTTTCCCCGTGTTCACTAGATAATTGTGTTGTTACTGCTTCGCTCTTGTGCTTAAGATAACATAGAAGACTTTGTCCAGTTTCACTCTTTATGTCCATTTCCCACAGGCTGGGTTGAACATGGTCCTTTATTTACTACTGTTGTCAGATATCAGTGAAAGGTCAGCATCACCACCAAGTTTTTCTCTCTCAACCACCTGATCAAATCAGCACTTCCAAGTAGAAAGTGAGAAAGAAATACACATTCTGGCTGATGGATGATGTCATCATTAGTTGTTTCACTTTGTTCCTAGTATATTTTTACTCGTTGGGGTAAGAGTGCTGACCTGGAAATTAGAAATGTAGGTTTTAATTGCCATTTTTTCTCTACCTCTCAAGTTGGTCCTTATAAAATCTGTGCTTACCACCCTTCATAGAACACCTGAGATCATATGTAAGACAACTTAGTACCTTTTAAAAACAGATGGGCAATGTGGTGAGTGAATTTCCCTGATCTCCCCAGCAGATTTAGAGACAAAGCAGTGCATATCTTTATGCCTGATTGAAGATTATCATTTAGAATTAGGTCAGTTCTCTTTTTGCTTAGTGTACCCTCCCCAGCCACCCAGTTTTACTGCAGTTCAGGGGTCAGGTGACATTTTTCCAGATCTTTCTCAATCCAAATCCACTGTCTACCACGCACAAAACAGGATTCATACAATGAAAGTGTAAATCTTGGATAAACTAGCTTAGATTAATAGAGGTAATCACATCTCGTACACAAACTTCACAAATAGAAAAACATTTCTGCATTGCCTAAGATTCATTCCTCAAAAACATGTTATTATAAATGTAAGTTGAGAAGAATTAAATTATGCTGGAAAATAATCAGATGTTATTTTGTCTTGAAGATATTTTAACTTCAGTTAAATATCGGAAGCAAATTAAATCCTAAGTAAAGCTTAACCTAAAATCATATTTAAAGACTGGGTCTTTGAAACCAAGGGGAATGTGGCTAGTTTGTTTTTATTTCTTTGTGCTTGCTTTTAAACACTGTAGGCAACAGCTTTATTGAAAAAAGCCCTTACAGAAGAGTGTGTGGATAGGTCAGCTATTCACAGTAATGAATCATCTTGCAGCTTGCCATCTATTCTGAATGACAATAGTCGAATAAAGGAAGCAGAACCCGCTCTGTGGCTCAACAGTGTTCTTACAAGGGAACAAGGTAACTATTGTTAAAGGTTCTGTCACAGCAAAAATGCATTCAGAGTCAAGACAACACCCTCTTTCTCAAGGTATACCTATAAAATAAAGTGGACTAGTAAATACTTCTGGTTTAAATATGTATAATGTGTTATATATTTCATAACATTTTCCAATAATATATGTATTTTTGTTTAGAAAAACATTTAATTCCCAGTAAAATAAGTTATTGTAAGTAATGAAATCCTAACAAAGCTAATCAGTTGGCAGTAGACAATTTTGATCATCCCCATAAAGATAAACATGATTCAATAAAGAATTACAGTTTTTTATAGCACATAATAGAATTTACTAATAATTTATAAACATTCTTATAGTAGAAATTCTTAAAAGCCTAAACAGATGATTAAGAATGAAATTATGCCTTCCCAGATTTAATAACCAGTTTTTAATATCCAGAAATTATGACTATTTTAGCCTTACTGTTAAAACACACCAGTAAACCGCTATTATAGTATCACCAAAACAGCTGTGAGGATGTATTTATAAGTTGATCTACACAAACAGATTTTGAGATTCATTGATTTTTAACTCCACCCAAATTTGGCAAATGGCAGACTATATTTTCATTAAAGCAACATCAAGATACCTTAGTTTTTTAATAGGTTTCCTTTTAGAAATAGTAGTATCATTTCAGACAAGAAATAAACCAACCAAAGCAAGCAAAAAAAAGAGGGAGGTAGTAAAATGAAACAAAAAAATAAAGAGGGAAGCAGTAAAAATAAAAGGAATAACAGTTGAAAGTCAGATAAACACCTGTCCATAAATATAACCTTGAAATGCATTTTTATTATCATGTGTTCAATTTTTAGAAGTTTCAAGTAGCTGTGGAAATGTGAGCAAGGAAGAAAGCCTGGCAGCAAAGATTCCAATCACAGGTAAAGTAATGGTTGCCTAAGAGTTTCAAACACAAGATTTAACCTTATATTATCAGAGCATTTTGGCTAGTGGTTTGAGGACTTTGCTGAAAGCAAGTATATTCAACTACTGTATGCTGGAGCAGGAGATTAATCATAAGAGCATAATATGTGAGCTTCTGTTAATATAAACTAAGATGGAAAATAAGCATTTCTATTGAATTCTTCATAATCATGTTATCCATTTACACATGTGAGCATCCCCCATCACGTAGCCTTTCAGCACCTGCGTCTGTGTTAAAAGGTCAGTCTCCATGGAACAGTCTCCTGGAACACCCAGTCATTATATGGCAAACTACAGATGTTTCTGATTTTACTCTTTTCTTTCCTGTGATAATTGAATGTGTATCATTAAAATAAGAGCAGAAAAAAGTGCCAGACAGGAAACTTATTTGTGTCTCAGTTACTAAGCCTATCTGACAATTTAAAAATGTTAACCATATGGTTTCATCAAGACCTATTAAAATTTCTACACATATATTAAGCTTGTTTAGATGGAGTCTGAATATCATTATGATTTTTAGTTTTAGAATATCAACAGCAGGAATTAGTATTCTGAACAGAGTTCTATTTGTCATACATCTAAATTTACTAGTACCTAATATTTTGTAAAGTGGTATACTACTTCATTATAAATTCAAAGGTCTGGCTTTAAATATTTATACAAGTAAATACTCGATTGCACTAAGCTACAAAGGCATGCATCTGCATATGTGATAGTTTTGTTGTTTATAAGCAGAAAAGAATAGCTTTCTCTTATGACAATACAATTCATGACTGTATGATTAATTTTTTAAACCCATGCTTCTGTGATGAACTCTGGTTTTGAGAAAGGAGTTTATTGTAGAGCAATTATTGTGTATTTTCTGCATCAGATAGTATTTCACTCCAAAATGGAGGTTTTTCTCTTCTTTTAAACATTTATCAGTGATATATTTATTGCAATTTTATCTTCATTTTGAAAAAACTGATAGACTCTTTATTTTTTTTTTATTAGTAGGAGCAATGTAGATGATCTCAAGCTGCAATAACTAAGAAGTCATTTGAATGCTTTTCTATTCATGTTTAAATGCAGAAGTATCTAATGACCTCTGAATTTATTTAAAATTATAAAGGCATTCTGATGAGAAAACAGTAAATGACTTAGTTGCCTGTTCTTCTCTTTTGAGTATTGTTTCCAATCATCCCTTGTTAGGTGTAAGAGATTACCCTCTGAATTAGTGCAAATGTTTCTTTTTATAAGAGAAGAAATAGTTAAGTAATAGAGTTTCAAATCTTCTTTTTATGTTGAAAGAGATACGATTTACCATGAAATAATAGTGCTATTGCCATTAAGATTTTTAAAGAAATTATAATTCCAATAACCTGTTATCAGTCCATCAGCAGTGGACAATTTAAGAACAATATGCTTTGTGCCTGCTGTATGATTTTGGAACTTAACATTCAAAACCATTGACTTCATTCAAGTTTTGCTATCCTGTCCTTAACCACCCCATCCTCTCTCTTCTTTGCTCCCCATCCACTGTACCTTCCATGGAGTTAATGTTTGAGGGCCACATGCACCTTGCCTCTACTTAATACTTTTGTGTCTATCATTGTCTCTAAGTTTGTTTTTTTTTTTTTTTTTAAGATTTATTTATTTGTTTATACATGCACTGGGTACAGTCAGAAGCGCGGGAGGGTGAGAGAACTCACCAGAGCCAGAGCGGGGAGCAGAGCAGGCAGAAGAACCGAAGTACACTGCTGAGGGGAGCATCAGGCGGCAGGAGAGGTCTGCGGGCCATGTGGGACCCTCCACTGGTGGCCGGGGAGCAGCCGGAGATCGAACCGGCGCTGCAGAGGCTGCAGGCAGCTTTGCAACCCAGTGCTCAACCACTGCGCCACCAGGGAGGCCCTGTCTCTAAGTTTTTGACCATCATCTCTTTATTAAATTTTTATATCATTTGGCATAATTATCTGGAGATTTGGCCTTTAGTAGAATAAGGCATCTGTCTACTTTGAGTTAAGAAAGGGTCTGCCTTTTCTTTTATAATAGTTTTGTTGAGGCTTTCCTGCTTGTATGGGCTGCATTCCTTCATGAATATTCCAAAGAAACCAAATATCCCAAAGGCTATCCCTAAGAGCTGATATGTGGCAGTTGAGCCTAGGCTTTGGCATCATCCAGCATGCTCTATATCTTTATTCCCTGCCCTATTTGTCTTCCTCTCTGAGCTTCTGTGTTAGGACAGAAATAGACTACCTGGCAAAATAGTCTTAAAGTTTAAATAATAATCATGTGTGTGAAAAGTGCCAAGCATATGCCAGACACTTGATACATGTTATCTGTCACTTGTTATAATTATATTCAAGTGAGTGTTAATAGCAGTATTGAGCATTTGCACTAGTCCACAATCCCAAACATTTTCAAACCAGTGACACCTAGATAAAAGGAATTTCACAAAGCAAACTCAAAAGAAGAAAAGAGGCAGGAAGTGGGGTGTGGTGCCACAGAAAGAATAATCCTCAGGTGGGTCCTAGAAGGGAATCTGACCCTCTCTACCAATTATTCTGGCAGCTGCTGGCCTTCCTGAGTTGCCATATCCACTTGGGACCAAGAACCACCCAAGGCCCTGTGCTGCCATAATTCCTCATAGGAAGCACTTCCTGACATTACAGCTAAATTAGTTTCTGCAAGAAATTTCCACTTAGGGCCTCCCCGGTGGCGCAGCGGTTGAGCGCTGGGTTGCGAAGCTGCCCGCCGCCTCTGCGGTGCCGGTTCGATCCCCGGCTGCTCCCCGGCCACCAGAGGAGGGTCCCACATGGCGCGCAGACCTCTCCTGCTGCCCGCTGCTCCCCTCAGCAGTGTACTTCGGTCCTTCTGCCTGCTCTGCTCCCCGCTCTGGCTCTGGTGAATTCTCTCACCCTCCCGCGCTTCTGACTGTACCCAGTGCATGTATAAACAAAATAAACAAACAAACAAATAAATAAATAAAACATGCCTCTATTTAAAAAAAAAAAAAAAAAAAAAAAAAAAGAAATTTCCACTTAGAACTCAGCTGATGATTTTAATCAAGAAAGCTATTTACCTTATCAAAAAGGAATCTTGAAGCATTTCATGATACTTTGGAATGCCTGACTAGTGCCATGAAGAAACCCTAAGAGAAAGAGTCATAAAAAGCTGATTGGCCCCTGGGGATCTTATGGTAAAAGCCAGACCATCCCTGCCTGTGAGATCCTGTTTGTTGTACGTAGGTGCTCACAGGGGAGTACACTGCAGGACCCCTGAGGTGTTGATGGGCTAACAAACATTTCCTCAAGTGTGTTTATGCAATATTCCACCCAAGAAAATATTTCAAGGAATACATATTTTGTGGCCAATCCCTGCACAATTTCTCTTTCCCTCTGTGGATTGCCCAACATACAGGAGCTCATTGAAGACTTTGAAAATATTTTCAGTCAATGAACCATTTAACAGTGTGAACCTATAGTCAAAAAATAACATTTTCTATTTGAAAAATGGTATCCTTCCTATAAATAGCTAACAGAATTTTCTTGGCAGAAATTTTGGGAAATCAGCACACAGACATAGAACATTTTTTAAAAACTTAAGTCTAAAAAGGGCCCCAGTTTTCTCATTAAACTAAAATTATTGTTAATGTTTCCTATGATTCCTTTATGTGGAACCTCCCTTGTAGATGAGATTACTCTATAATGAAACTTTGAGATATTTATGTGTAACTAAACTCCAGATGTTGTTATGGATTGAAAATTACTTGTTAAAGCTGCTCACTGAGCAGATGACCTACAGGTTACAATAGTAATATTTGACTGTCAAGAAACACTCTTCTTCAGCATGGGCCTTCATTACTTTATTGCTTTAAGGCTACCTTAGAAGGCATATAGAAGAGAAAGAAGCCAAGGTGAAATCTCAGACATAGGGTATTGGGCAGGATGATGGGAAGTTCTGAATTGCACCATTTTCATAACGATGAGGGCCTTGGAGAAGTTTAACCTGAGAAGGGCACAAAAGGTATCTTTATGCAGGACTGGCATATACAAGGCATATCTTTTATCAAGCACATTTACAGAGTATAGTTCAGGGGGCCCTTTTTGTCTGAATTTTGCAGGAAAGGAATTCACAGCTCAATAACAGAAAACTTTCTGACTCTTCATTTCAGCAAAATCAAACTGAGTATCTTCCAGGTATGAGTTTCTATCTGGGTGCTTAAACCCTGGTGGGAACCTGTGCTCAGGAGAATACTCCAGAAGAAATCATGTATCTTCAAACTCTGACATTCCTTCTAATGCTGAGAGACAGTGTTTCTCATTCCATATTAAAGGAACCAAATATGCCAACATTCTCATTTCTATTTTTTCCTTTTCTGATTTGCTTATCTCCTCCCCTTACCCCCGCCAACCAGACATAGGTCTTCTTAGCAGAGGGACTTATCCTTAAGAAATTTGCTGTCATCTGAAAAGTATCTGCTTTGCTAATCATCATTATGGAGAGTGTATTTTATATCTCTAGCTCCTGCAATATGTACTAAGATTTATGTAGAATCTGTTCCCTACAAATTCTAACACACACACAACCAGAGTAAGTATTCCTATAGCCTGTGTGATATATTAGTCTAATTGTTTATGCTAAGAATGCAGGTAGAAATATGGAAAGCTGTGTGGAGGTTCCTCAAATTACTAAAAATGAATCTACCATATGACCCAGTGATTCCACTCCTAAGAATCTACTCAGAGGACACAAAAACATTAATTTGAAAGGAAACATGCATTGCTATATTTATTGCTACACTATTTATAATATCTAAGATATGGAAACAACCAAAATGCCCCAAACAGATGACTGAATCAAGAAGATGTGGAATATATACACAATGGAATACTGTTCAGCAATCAAAAAAGATAAACTCATGCCATTCCGAGCAACATGGATGGAGCTGGAAGGGTTTATGCTCAGTGAAATAAGT